CCCCCCCCCCTGCGTACGCCCTTGAAGGCAAAGGTAAAAATAAAAACAAAAACAACGATGCGTAAAGATAAATGCAAAAATTAAGACCAAGGTAAATTTAAAAGTTTTACTAATATAAGGGCAAATGTGAAGGGGAATATGTAATGTAGAAATTGATAAACATAAAGATGATAAAGATAAATATAAAGAAAAGATGAGGATGAGTAAAGATGAAAATAAAGGAGGAAAGATTAAAATGAAGGTAATTATAAAGAAAATGATATAGAGTCACAGAGACTCAACTTGGGAACTATTCCGGTATTTTCGGTATTCTCGGGACTTATCGATATAATGATCGATATTTTTATCGATTTTGTTATCGATATTTTTATCGATTTTATTATCGATCTGAGTATCGATTTGGGTATAGATTTTATTTTCGATATTTTAANCGATATTTTTATCGATATTTTTATCGATTTTGTTATCGATCTGAGTATTGATTTGGGTATAGATTTTATTATCGATATTTTAATCGATTTTGTAATAGATATTTTAATCGTTTTTGTTATCGATAATTTTATCGATTTTGTTACCGATAATTTTATCGAGTTTGTTATCGATTTGGGTATCGATTTTGTTATCGATATTTTTATCGATTTTGTTATCGATATTTTTATCGATTTTGTTATCGATATTGTTATCGATTTTGTTATCTGTATTGTTATCCTTCACGAAATCGTTCGCTGTCCAATTGAGCAAATGGTCTGCCATCGTGTGTCACTATTTTTAAAATTGAGGAAATAAAGTCATCTTTGTTCACTTCGTAAGAAAACTATATTTTTTTGTTTTTTTTTGCACTTCATAATGTTCTTGGCCATTTTTCTCCGCATTTTTGAAACTGTCATTGTGGTTTTTTTTTTAAATGACGCCTTAAGTTAGTTATATGCTTCCCTGCTAAATGTCTGTCACACACATTGCATATAGATTTATTTCTTATATCATCAAACTTATAGAAACTTCTAACCAAGAAATCACAGTTTCTACCCATTGCAATAATTATTAATTGTTTGCTCTTATAAAATTAAAATGCCGTTTCACTACTTCTCACTTCAGTTAAATAATTAGAATGAGCTAAAAATATATGTTTACTGAGAGCTAACGGAAATAACAAACACAATAGGGGTATTCTCCGAGTCTTGCAAAGCCCTTGCACTGTGCACGGATTGCACGATAAAAACCTGGCATTCTTATGGGACAGCTTTGCAAACCGTGCATCGTGCAAGGGCTTTGTAAAACTGCGAGAATACGCCTAATAGCAAATATAAAAACTCGTTTATGTTACCACATAAAAGCGCAGTTACCCACGCACACAAGGCAAAAGTGACGATTTAGCTCGACAAAATTAATTAACTAATAAAATTGATTTGGGTTGTGGGAAATTAATATTATATGATGGTTTAAAACTATTTAAACAAATATAATAGAATTAATAACAATATAAATTTTCCAATCCCTGCAAAAAATGGTTTTATCCACTTTGATATGAAACATGATGTTTAAATTTTGATATTTACGTGAAATACATAATAGTAACAGAAACATATTGTACAGGTTGACCTCGTACAACATGGGGACTAAATTGGGACTACTACTTGTCCCAAAAATCCCGAAGTAGTCCCGAAAATCCTGAAGAAGTCTCGAAAATTCCGAATTAGTGCCGCTGATCCCTAAAATCTCAAAGTAGTCTCGAAAATTTTAAATTAGTCCCGAGAATCCCGAAATAGCCCAAAAATCTCGAAGTAGTCCCGAAGATTCCGAAAATCCTGAAGAAGTGTCGAGAATTCCAAATTAGTGCCGCGGATCCCGAAAATCTCAAAGTGGTCCCGAAAATCCTGAATTAGGTCCAAAAATCCCGAAGTAGTCCCGCAGATACCGAAAATCCTGAAGAAGTCTCAAAAATTCCGAATTAGTGCCGCGGATCCCGAAAATCTCAAAGTAGTCCCGAAAATCCCGAAGAAAGTCCGAGAATCCCGAAATAGCCAAAAATCTCGAAGTAGTCCCGAAGATTCCGAAAATCCTGAAGAAGTCTCGAAAATTCCGAATTAGTGCCGCTGATCCCTAAAATCTCAAAGTAGTCTCGAAAATTTTAAATTAGTCCCGAGAATCCCGAAATAGCCCAAAAATCTCGAAGTAGTCCCGAAGATTCCGAAAATCCTGAAGAAGTGTCGAGAATTCCAAATTAGTGCCGCGGATCCCGAAAATCTCAAAGTGGTCCCGAAAATCCTGAATTAGGTCCAAAAATCCCGAAGTAGTCCCGCAGATACCGAAAATCCTGAAGAAGTCTCGAAAATTCCGAATTAGTGCCGCGGATCCCGAAAATCTCAAAGTAGTCCCGAAAATCCCGAAGAAAGTCCGAGAATCCCGAAATAGCCAAAAATCTCGAAGTAGTCCCGAAGATTGCGAAAATCCTGAAGAAGTCTCGAAAATTCTGAATTAGTGCCGCAGATCCCGAAAATCTCAAAGTGGTCCCGAAAATCCTGAATTAGGTGCAAAAATCCCGAAGTATTCCCGAAGATTCCGAAAGTCCTGAAGAAGTCTCGAAAATTCCGAGTTAGTGCCGCGGATCCCGAAAATCTCAAAGTAGTCTCGAAAATCCCGAATTAGTCCCGAGAATCCCGAAATAGCCCAAAAATCCCGAAGTAGTCCCGAAGATTCCGAAAATCCTGAAGAAGTCTCGAGAATTCCAAATTAGTACCGCGGATCCCGAAAATCTCAAAGTGGTCCCGAAAATCCTGAATTAGGTCCAAAAATCCCGAAGTAGTCCCGCAGATACCGAAAATCCTGAAGAAGTCTCGAAAATTCCGAATTAGTGCCGCGGATCCCGAAAATCTCAAAGTAGTCCCGAAAATCCCGAAGAAAGTCCGAGAATCCCGAAATAGCCAAAAATCTCGAAGTAGTCCCGAAGATTCCGAAAATCCAGAAGCAGTCTCGAAAATTCCGAATTAGTGCCGCGGATCCTGAAGATCTCAAAGTAGTCTCGAAAATCCCGAATTAGTCCCGAGAATCCCGAAATAGCCCAAAAATCCCGAAG